AGGAAGTGACCAACACAGACACAGTGAGGCTTTCAGATGCCAAATGATGATCTCATCTATTTTTCTGGGAAGCCCGTGTCCCACACTGCCTGAAAAACAGAGAAAGAAGACACTTGGGCATGTAAGAACAGGAACAGGTCTATGGTCCAGTGGGTTATTGAAACCTGCTCCAAACTGGCTCAAAAGATGCTTCACCTCAAAGTGGGGGGAAAATATGGGCTTTAAAGAAGATGTTAAGAGATACTTGAAACTGAGGGAGGAACAGCACGTGAGAGTTAATCAGAGTTACTTCTGCAAGGCCAAACAGGCACCAGTTCAAAACGAGTCCTGCAGCAAATCCCCCAGGGTTTAGAAAACAGGACCAGAAGGACAGGTTTGTATGAAACCCACAGCTGCAAAGTATCAGGGTTTCTCCTTCCCAAACAAGTTGGCAAAATCCTTGCCTCAATTTCTTCTAATTCCATTTTGTGGCTTCCAGAATCCACCCTAAAGTGTGTTGGCAGCAGAACACCTGGAACGTGTGTTTAGCACAGGCTGGACCACATCTCCTCCCTTCACCTCCTCAGCTTCAGCCCCTGCTGACCAGCCAGGTGCCCCCTCCCATGCAGAACAAGGGCTGGCCCAGCCACCTGCCCCACCACCCCATCCAGAGGTCTGGGTGAGGAGCAGATATGCAGCTCAATTAGAAAATGGCAACAAAGGTATGGTATGACTTCACCTGTGTAGCTTCTTCTGCAGTGCCAAACATTACTGTTTTCCACCCAAATAAGAAGAGAGCTGCCTGTTTTATCCCTGGTCAAGTTACCTAAAAGCAAACATCTGGTGAAGATTCAGAGGGGAACACAAAGGCCAAACCCATCCCAAAGCACTCAGGTTTCTGCTTCCAGCAGAAGCCACAGGCTTCAAGGGAAGATCTCAGCTCTCAGCTCTGATTAAAGTTAAAATATTTTTTGAGCATAAAGTTGGGTGGACACTCAGTTCCCCAGGGCTCTTCCAGCAGACCTCACCAACGGGGCTGATGGCTCCAGGCACAGAGCACAGGGAAGCTCAAACCATCAGCAGGATGGTTCCCCTCTGAGGGCATCAGCTCCCACCCAGCCCTGACCAGGGCTCCTGGCCTGGCTGGGCTTTCCCTCCCAGCTCCCTGGTTGCCCCCACCTCCCTCCTGGACCTGCCTGCATCCCTGGCACCCCCGGGGCCCAGGTGTCCCAGCCTGAGGCTCCTGTAGCTCATGCCTGCCTGCTTTGGGGCTTCTGCTGCTCCTGCTTTGGGGCTTCTGCTGCTCCTGCTTTGGGGCTTCTGCTGCTCCTGCTCTGGGGCTTCTGCTGCTCCTGCTCTGGGGCTTCTGCTGCTCCTGCTCATCTTCCGACAACCCTGAACAGAACAGAAGCCTTTTGGCCTTTGCTCCCCGGTTCCTGCTACAGCCCAGGCTGCAGGGCTTGGCTCCCAGGCCTTCCGTGGTCACACCAGGAATTCACGCCCCCACCGGGACCAAAACGGCGTTTTTGTTTTTAACGATTTGTTTCTAACGCTTGTTTCCAGTGGTTGCTGTGTCCGTG